CAATGGAATCAAAACCCTTAAAAAGGTAGAAGTGTCAACTGAAGAAGTAGAATATTTAAAGAAAGAAGTTCAAAAGATGAGGAATATTAATGGTTACCTCAATGATCGACTAACTTCTTCCTTCTCTCATCAAAAGGAAGTTGAATTGGACTCTACCAAGGCTCGAACTGCCATCCTTGAGAGTGGGTTGGAACTATCCAAGCAAGGGTGTATGAAGAAGGCCCAGGCAATGGAAACTCTAAGAACTGAGTTATTTTCTCTCCAGAAAAGGCTGACTGCAAAAGATGATGAAGTCAAGACTCTCAAGAATGAAGTTTCTCGGTTAATGAAGGAACATGCAAATCTAGGAAAGTGTCTTAACCAATCTGAAAGGAATCTAGAAACTAAGTCAGCAGAACTTGAAATGACATCTGAAGCTGTGAGGAAGCTGAACAAAGGAAGAGCAGACTTGAATGAAACTCTCAGCATGGGAAAAGCCCATGGCGATGCTAGTGGATTGGGATACACGAGAAAGTTGAAACCGGTGAAAGTTCATCGAAAAGCTCATTCCAACGTAAGCATCTAGGACTACGGTTTTTCAGCAAGACAGGTATTGGAGGTACCAGTTCCCGTGGTAAACCTTCTCGTGACCTATGCTCCAGGTTTGTCAAAAGTACGGTAAATGAAACTTCTTCATCTGAAAAGAATGTGAAGGCTTATACGCATGTCACTAACACTGAAAATCACTCTTTTCATAACTTTGATTTAATTTGTCACTACTGTGGTATAACAGGACATATCAGACCTAAGTGTTATAAAATGCAAAATGATCTGTGTACAGGGAAAATGGAGAGTTGTAATCACCTTGGAGTTCCAATGAAAGTTCATAAGCCCTGAGCACAAAAGAAAAACTCCAAACAGGAACAAGTGTGGGTTGTGAGGAATGCTCAGAACTGCTTTGCTTCTGTGTTGTCCCTAAAAACATCACCTGAGGGTAAATGGTATCTAGATAGTGGTTGTTCAAGGCATATGACTGTGAACTTTTATATCTATGTGACATTAAGTCTAGTTCAAAAAGTGAAGTTACGTTCGGTAATGGTGGTAGTAATAAGGTCATAAGCAGTGGTTCTTTGAACTTAGGAGGATTTGCCAAAGTTGAATAATGTCTTGTTAGTTCATATCTGAAAGGCAGATCTGCTCAGTGTTAGTCAACTTTGTGATCAAGGCCTGAATGTTAGTCTTTCTCGTAATAAGTATTTTGTAAAAGATAATGAAGGTACTTGCATACTTACTGGATCTCATTCTATTGATAATTGTTATCTTGCTGATGTTGATACTAAATGTTTTCAAGCAGGTATTAGTGAAAATGATATTTGGCTTCAACGACTAGGTCATATTGGATACTCTCACTTGATCAAGTTGTCTAATGCAGGTGTGGTTCATGGAGTTCCGAAAATAGCGATGAAGGAACATCCTGTCTGTGAACCATGCAAGATGGGCAAACAGACTCGATCTTCACATAAGGCATTGAACCATATTGCCACTAAACAATTCATTGAATTACTTCATATGGACTTGATGAGACCCATACAAGTTAAGAGTTATAATGGCAAAAAATACATATTCGTTTGTGTTGATGATTTTTCACGTTTCACTTGGATTGATTTTTTGCGTGAAAAATCCGACACATTTGATGCTTTCAAATCTGATACATCAGCCGGTTGGAAATCACTTCCCCCCGTTGTACTCTGCCATTATATAAAAATATTTTATTTTAAAATTAAAAGTGATGCAAATATTATATATATATATATGTATATATTTATGTGGTTAATTAATATTTATGATAGGATTTAAGATTTATAAATATAGATTATAGTCTTTATTTTTATTATTTTTATATATATTTATATGATTAAAATATTGAATACATGATTATTAAAATTTGTAAAATTAATTATCGATTTATCAATTAATTGAATGACCTGATGCTTAAACCGATAACTTGAAGGCCAACTAGAGTCGATTTTATATTGAATGTTTTTGTATATATTTTAAGCTAATAAAATAAGTAACAAGTTTGGCACCTCCACAAATTGTAAAGTCTCAAGTTGTAAAAATATTAAAACTTACCAAGGAAAACAACAAGAATGGAAAACCTTTCCAATTAATGCCAACGCTGAAGGATAAGAGGGGAAAAAAACAAAACAAAACAAAATCACGACATTGGAAAATTAAATGACCAACAAATATTTATATAAAGTTGCTAGACTAGATAATGCAGAAGCTTCCTCATTTATTTATATGCCAATCAATCAAAAAGATTCCTCCGAATGATTTTGGGTAGAAATTGGGATCATTTCAATTGGAAAAGGATTAATTTATGGCCTTTCTTATCTTGTCAACTATTATGACAGTTGTTATAACTTGTACTATCAATGTTCATTATTCGAGTGCCAATAATATTTTATTCATTTATTTATTTTTGACTTTGATCAATATTTTACAGAGGAATCTGTCGTTGAACTTTGTAACTCTTGGGTATCGGTACAAGTGTTATTTTGAGATATTTCCGTCTCGTGTTCGAATTTTAAATTACTGTTATACCTAAGAAGAAGAAAATTAAAGCATGTAAGTACAGAGTTTCTTTCTTTTCCCTTTCATTCACTCTTTTGTAAGCGTTATCCTTTAAAACGAAACAAATAAATAGTTCGACGAAATAGAAATTTATTTATATACATCAACGCATTTTGATGCATGTACAACCCTCTCACTAGATGACATGATATCATAAATATGAGACCCATCTAATCCAAGTTATTAATAATTTTGAATTCGACAATACTTGGCCCGATACAGACTGTGGCTCATGTAGTTTCGTTGCCTAAAAATTTAGGCCTATTTAATTCTTTTGCTAATAAATCAGGCTCGATAACTTTGTATCAATTTCCGAACCTACAATAATAGTATAATTTTTTATACATAATTGTTACGAAACATGAATAGGTTGATTTATGAAGTCATTCGCATTTATTCATAATTGTTTTATTGACATGTACTCTAAAATAAATACATTTGAGATACATGATTGTCGCAGTTTATGATCTTTTACATATATTCTTNTTTCTAAAAAAAAAAAAAAAATACACGACCATCTTATTGCCACTGCCACATCTACCAGATGTATAAATAACACCATTTAATTAATCATTGACTCTTGAAAATCTTGGTACATGTAATTTACTACTATTTTACTACCTCACTTGTGCCACTGCATATGTGACAAAGGTGAATGTCTCAATTGTGAAAAGATATGTTACTAGCTAACAAATTAATTGTAATATCCAACTGTAGTCCATAACCAACAAAGGGTTTGTCCTTAACAAATGAGTATATCTTAATCCTACTTTACAGTTCTAGGGATTATATATTAAGTCAAGCTCCCACCGACTGATGAAAAAGTCAGCTAACCAGACTCCATAACAATGGATCACTAAAAATCTTTAATCTTTACTCAACTTCATCATTTTAATTAGTTTAATACTTACCACACAATAAATGAAGAATCTCACAATATTCCTGCCAATAATATGAAGTTTAGTTTAATATGGTGTCGCAAATTATTTTGGCCGTTTGCCGTTCGTACCTCTGTTTCATCTTGCTTGAAGCTTAATTAATATGTAACACAAAACTCATTAGTCTTATTATTAATCCTGCATTTTATATATTAATTCAGGTTCACGATGCTTCTTAATTATTATTATTAAAACCTGTTTAAAATGTAGATGTGGCCAGGGTCGGCCCTGCCGGATCGACCCGGAATCGGCCCGTATGTACGGGTCCTTGAACCGGACCCGTGGTAATTGTTTGTCCCATTTTTGTATCTTTATTTCATGTTTATTTTATTTATGTTTTTCCCCACTTGTAGAATTTTCGTAGCTTATTTGGTTCATTTCTTTCGTTTTGTGTTTTTACCTTTAGTTTATATTTTTGTATCTTTTTGTCGTGTTTTGCTTCGTGTTTTTCCGTGTTTATGTTTTCAGAAGGTAGGTTGTGCCGGTCGAGGTTGGAAGTGCTTGAGCCGAGACCGTGATATTGAGAATTCCCGTGGCCGAGCCCAAAAAACAACGAAGAGGACTGAAGGAAGGACTGAAAACTGCCCCAGCATATCTCGCGACTCACGACTTGGGTCGCGACTCTCCACAATGTCACGACCCGCGAGAAAAACAGCGCCTTATGGTGCAGTACGCGAGCACGAGTCGCGACTCGCGACATGTAGTCGCGACCAAACCCCAGAAATTGAAGATCTTGACGATGCGCGACGCGCGACTCGCGACACGTTTCTCCGAAAAAATTTAAAAAAATGATTGACCGGATTTTTTGGAAGAAAAATTTTCAAGATTCTTTCTCATTATTGGCCAAATTTACCCATAGTATTTAAGAAAATTATTGCTCATATTTATAGGAATTAAGACTTACAAAATATCTTTATCAAATAACATTTTTCTAAAAAAAAATTGTATTGGAATTTTCATCAGCCGTCATTTTCTATGAATAGTAGGTTTAAAAATTTTAAACAGAAATTTCAATACTATTTTAAGTAAATATCTCTATTATACAGTAATAGATTCTTATGCGCTTAATCATCACCATATTTATTATCTGTCGAGATAATAAATTTTTTTCCACCATATTTATTGTGTTGAGGCATTCATTCATAAATTTTAGAGAAATGCTACATTGTCAACCTAGTATATAACTAGGTTGACAACACAAGTAAAAAACATCCACAAAAGTAAAAATAAAAAAATACACAAATGAATGTTTTCAGTTATGTTGTCAACCTAGGTGTACACTAAATTGACTATCTATCATTTCTCTAAATTTTAAGAGAACAAGGAAAAATTCACAATATTTTTTTTTCCACCAAATAAATATATGTCTGAGATGTCCCACAAGCGCTGTCAATCTCATTATTATTATCTTAAAAACCCTTTGACGAGACAGTAGCTACTCATCTCTTCAAACTTCACATTCTCTTAAACAAAAATTAAAAAATTCCCAAATGGCGAAGCAGCCCAAAATTACTACCAATCCTCCAAAATGTGTCCTTAATTAAATCCCCTCTCTATTTACATCTTCATTCCCTATATATGAATCTCATTTTCAAGAATCCACTCTCTCTCTCTCTATATATATCTCTCTCTACAAGTGTTCTAGCAGCTTGCTAAAAGAGTTGCTTTCTAGGCAAATTAATCAAAAAAAAAAAAATATCAGCAGCAGCATTAGTGAACACATGGGCAGACATTCTTGTTGCTACAAGCAGAAATTAAGGAAAGGGCTTTGGTCCCCTGAAGAAGATGAAAAACTAATAAAGCACATCACCAAATACGGCCATGGCTGCTGGAGCTCAGTTCCAAAGCTAGCAGGTAATTAAAATTATCTAACTGTATCTTAATTAAATCTCGTCACAAATTGGCCTTTGACTTTTTACGCACGTTTAAATGGTTTTATAATATTTGTATTTGAAGGGCTGCAAAGGTGCGGCAAAAGCTGCAGATTGAGATGGATCAATTATCTGAGGCCTGATTTGAAAAGAGGTGCATTTTCTGAGGACGAAGAGAATTCAATAATCGAGCTGCATGCACTTCTTGGAAACAGGTCCTTACAGTAATTAAAAATTCCTTTTACATTTCATGAGTACTTGATGTGAATTTTGATGGTGTGAACCTAAATTATAGTATATATGTCATAATTAATCATAGTTCAATTCTTGTTTTTCAGGTGGTCACAAATTGCTGCACAATTGCCCGGCAGAACAGACAACGAGATCAAGAACTTATGGAATTCATCACTCAAGAAAAAGCTAAGGCAAAGAGGCATTGACCCCACCACTCACAAGCCCCTTCCAAAGGCCGACGAACAAGAAAACACTGATAAAACACCGCAAGGATCGAGTGACGTCAGCTTGGTTGAGAATCCGGACAGCCTGGCGGAAGAGAAACCCATACGGCCCAATTCGAGCTCCAGGCCCGGCCCATATCCACTCAACGAAAATCACTGCACCCCTTTATCTGATTTTTCAGGGCAGCTCGGCTTCAGGAGCCTGAACTTTGGGCCGTGTACCGGGCTTTTGCCGAATTCGAATGCGACCCAGTTCTTCAGCCCGAACCCGAAGCCTTTTGAGCTGCTTTATGATGATTATTATTCCAATCCTTATGCTACATCAAGCTCTACTTTCTGGGCCACCACACAAAAAAAGCCTCAAAATTTTCATGAGCTGCAAGAAAACTGCAATTTTCTCGCTAATTACACTAATAATACAATCGTCGTCAACAACAACAATTATAATAATAATAATAATGGGATGCAAGGGCAAGAAGATGTGAAGTGGACAGAGTATATGCAGACTCAGTATTTACAGGGGAACGCCGTTGACCATGGTCAAAATTCTCATGAAGATATGTATGGAGGAAAATCATCAAGGTCTCATATTCAGGATCAACAGTCTTTATTATTACAAGGTGCGGATTATTTTCAGAGGATTTCAGCTGCTTTTGGACAATTTTCCTAGCTTCTTTTTTTTTTTTTTTTTTTTGGCTGATTTTATGTGTCTGCTTTATTTGTACGAAGTTTGTTTTTTCTGAAATAATATAATCTGTGTATACAAGGACCATGAAATGGAATTTCTTCGACTTCTTGATACCGACGTCTTTCGATCGTCAGATAAAAGAAATAGAAAAGTGTTGCTGTTACTACCTGTTTTTGGTTTATATCATGGGGTGGTCCATACATATGTTTTCAATTATTTCTCTTTTGTTCTCACTTTTTATCTTTTCACTTTTTTTTTTTACTACATAATATAAGAGAGAATGTAAATGTAGAATATTGTTGCTAAACCTAGCTCATAAGTTAGATGATACTTTATATAAGAATTTTGAGCTTACATATGATATTTTACACTTTATAGTTGAAAAACTAATTGATGTGATTAAAATGTTCGGTACAATCAGTTGATAACAAAAATTTTAGCGAGTTTTTCTGAAAAATTATCCAATAAAACTGATAAGCTATAAGCTCAAGTTTCTTAAATAAATTCTTTCTATCAAACTAAACTTACTTTAATACAGAAAACTTATAAGCTAATCAAATAAGCAATAATGTAGCTTATGGTGTTTACCAAACTCACTTGTAGAATATTATGATTCAATATTGAGTGAAAGAGTACTTACTACAATTGGTGTGTAGAAACTAATCTATACTATTATAAAAAGATGAGTGATTTTGTAAAAATAATGATCTACCTAAAATATTCTTACTTTTACATACTTTTAATGAGAAATTGGTAATACATTAATATTAATGCTATATACCTGATATTTAAAAAATAAACTACCCAAAAGACCCTTACTTTAACATATTTTTACTGGTAAATTGGTAATACATTAATTCATGTTATATTATATTTTGAATTATTAACAAATATTTAATGAACTGGCGTGAAAAACTAAATGACATGGTAAAATAATATGTACTTTCAAATTCTATCCTACTTATATGCCCAATAATTGAATTGTAATTATAACATGCACATATACAAGTAAACCCAAATTTACTAATCTATATAAATTTTGTATGCTACATGTACTTAAATTTTTATATATAGTTGTTTAATAGTATTTTGTGGGGTAAAAGATAACCGAGCTACCCGACCTCGAGTCATTCTCAAAGGAAGGCTATTCAGAGCTTTACTGTAATTGGATTGAATATTGATTCCACAAAAATTGTTATTTTTTTTTTTTTAATTTTGATCTCATAGCCAATAAAGTTAAATGATCTTCACATGACCATTAGGTGGTTAATATCATGGTGAACTAACTAAAATGTATCATGATATTTTAATTATTATTATTATTTTATTTGAACCATTGATTTTCAAGATGAACGCTAAATAAACGATCTATATCATTATCATACTTACTACTCTAAAAGGATGAGTACTTATGTAAAAAATGAACTACCTAAAAAATCCTTCTTTTGACACATCCTAAAAATCAACCACAATATTCATGCACTATTATTTCTCACGAAATTTTTCTACATATCTCTCGAACTGTTTTCTTCAATACTTCCAAACTGTCTTCTCAACATCAACTCAAACAACAAAGTTTTTAAATAATATAAAATTATTGTTTTGAAAAAATATCTTTATTTAAATATAATTTTAGTTATAAAATCGTAATCACATTTTGTAATTCTAATATATAAAAGTTCTTTAAGGAAAACTGATATAACAAAAGCATCATAATAAATACATATGAAGAGTTTAAATATACAAAGATTACAATTAATTGGTATTTAAAAAGACATATGACCCGAAAAGTTTAATACTTAATTTTATTATTTAAAAATAAAAACTTGATTATTCTAATTTTAAGTAATTTTTTATTATCTATCACTTTTTGAATATAATATATAAATATCATATTACATATATAAAATAATAATTATTTTCATTCTTTAATATATAAGAAATGAAAATAAATTGAAAATTAATAGGTAATCTCGAGATAAAACATAAGGGATATCTAAAATATAGTTATATGGACTAAAAAGTCCATGTGTTTAATATATATGTTAAAATAAATAATTGTAACACAATTAATTAAAAACAAAAACTACTAAATAAAAATTTTTATGTTCAAGAAAGAATGGAAAAAAAAAATCTATGTAATGAAAAATCACAAGGGAAGGTATTCCACTGAAAAATTCAACAAATATTTCATTGGTATAACTTCTATTGGAAAATTTCATTGGCTATACCAACAGAGATAAAACTAAATTACATTAGAATTTAAGTGGATTTGATGATTCCAATTACCATTGTTTATTATTGTGTGAGTTTTCATTGGAATTTTTTTGGATCATATTTCAACCGTCGAAAACAAATGTCATTGAAGATGTAAAAAAAATCAATGAAAATTCCATTGTAAGGTAAATTGCAGTGGTAGATCCAAAATAATTTCATATTGGGAGCACTATTTAGTTAATACAAAAAGTATACTATCAAAATAAACAATATCATTACAATTTATAAATTACACTTTAATAATGCGCCATCGTTCTCATTTGTAATATATTTTGACCACATCAATGCAGTCACAATAAGTTCAAAAATATATTTTTGAAAAGCATAATTTTTTTTTTCAATTCAACATAAGAAAATTATGGAAAATAATATATTTTTTAAAATTTTTTATGAACAAAAAATTTATATTGTAGTATAGTTGACTCGACAATATAATTTTTTATTTATAAATTATGAATATATATATCTAGAATTCTACATAGATTACTTGAAAAAGGCATAAAAAAAATATTTTGAGGTTAGAGATAAAAAATATGTTGCAAAAGAGATAATATAAGTTATCATCCACATTTTTTCTTAAAAAAAAATAGAGAATTAAAGGGTAAAATTGTAATTTTTGGGTTTATCATATTTTATTTAGTTGTGATATCCCATTTATGTTGTAAATTTAATAAAATTATGAATTGAATAAAATTATAATTGGTTAAGTTGTAATTAATTCTTTATGTACCTTTCTTTCCTTTAAATTTATTTTCAAATTAGGAAACATGATAAAAATTATAAAAATATTCCCACAATTTTTGTTACCATCTCATGCTATATGTTTGGGATAAGGGCTTGTGCCGGACCTGTTAAATAAACATGGATTTGCCCATGGTTCCAACGAAATATTTTTGGAAGATTATTCATTGAAATATTCGTTAAAATTGTCGTTGAAATTTCATTGTAATATACTTTCATTAAGATTTTCATTCGAATTTCATCATTTTTTTGTATTAAAAGTAGGGCTCCGAATCAAATAAAAACTTTTGAGTTATATAATATTATGTGCATCTAATTATTATGAAAAATTATTGATAACGATACGAAATATAACACAGTAAGTGTAATTATTATTTAATTTATGATAGTTAGTAATTTTTTAGAAACAAACAAAATACATCTAGGTATAAAAGTCCTTAATTAGATAAACTTCTGTTATATTTTTCTTACATAAATTTGAAATATTTATACAAATAAGAAAATTGTACAAAATGAATGTAAACTTACAACTATTATCAACATTAACTATGCAAATTAAAAGGAAAAATAAATGAGTTGTATTTTAAACAATTATTCAGTTACTGCAAGAAAGGAACACTATAACGGTTGTAACATATAACATATGTTTTCAATGAATATGAAAGTGAGTTAATTACTTAATATTTTATCAAACAATGAAAAAAATTCTAAACTTTTTAATCTTATAACCAGTAGAAAAGTACATTTTCTCAAATATCCCCTCTATATATAATTTCAGAATGCGCTGAGCCTACGTGGCAAACTCTTATTTTTCGAAATCCTATTTGACAAAATATCATGCTTTGGAGTTAGGCTTGGATGTAAATTAATATTTATATTAATTGTATTTTAATATCATTTTCTATTATAACCATTAAATTGCAAATATATTTTAAAAGTTAATAACTTTTGTATTTCTTATCGGTTTTACATATATAATATATCAAATTAATCATCTTTTGATGAGCTTCGATTTGACATCTATATTGTATATATAAAATAAATAAATTGTATTTATCTTTATAATAATAATAAAATTATTTATTAATATTAATTAGAAAATAAAATTATTTCTTAATATATCTATGTTTAATGTAGTTATATGTTATAAGGTAGAAAATTTATTATAATATAACACATATAAGTCGCACAAGTAACATGTATCATACTAACATATATAATATATACTCCCTCCTATTTTTATTATTTGTCACTTTAGCTTAATTGATCATTGATAAAATAAATGTCGGTTTAGATATTTTGTTCATATTTTTCTATTTTTAACCCTCCATCCAATACACAGTGTATCTTCATATCCCATCTTCATCGTTTACCATAACATCCATTAAATAGAGTTAATATTGTCAAGAAAAAAAATCTTAATTAGTGTGTTGCATTTGAATTAATATTACGAAGTCTGTTTGTATTTTTCTATTTATATATATAAGTCCATTTGTATTTTACTATTTATATATGTATATATATATTATATAATACAAAAAGTAATATATATCATTATAAATAAAATTTAAATTTATTTATCAAATTAAATTAAATTATATCAAATAAAACTATAAATTATATTATAAAGTAATAGAAATTGGTATGCATTCTTTTAAAAATGATATTTATTTCAAATCTAATTGGTATGTTGTCAATGTAATAAAAATAAATAATTATTTATAGAAATTCTAAAATTACATATAAAGTTAAAAAAAAAAAGTGAAGCACGACTGTTACGACACTTGATGTATTAGGCATCTAATTAAGTAAAAAAATTAATCTATTTTGCTAATATTAAATAAACATATTATACACCTATCCATATACATATCACCATATTATTTCTATTTATTTAAGATATATATTTTTGTACTTATGTAATGATAAATAATATCGATATTTTTATATGATAGAAGTAAAAAATTCAACACGGGTTGACATTTTTATTTAATGTACCGGTGTTTAATTACTATGATTAAAAAAATATAATTTGACAATTTAATTAAAACTCAAAGTAATATTTTATATAAAATTAAATTATTTTAGTTTGTAAAAAAATAAAAATTTAATATTTTTTAAAAAAGCTTTCTATTCAGCACCCGTGTAATACACGGGTGTCGTACTAGTATTATTATTATAAATAAATAAATAATATT